ATGTAAGGCATGTAGCTTTGTGTACTCTGCATTGCTCTCTGGAGATGTCCAACTCTTACCCTTGGCTGCAGAGGTACGCTAGGCTCCTACCTTCAGACATCTCTATTGCATTTAAACTAGGTGCTGGAAAGGTGAGGGAGATTGGATATTGCTCAAAATGTCCCCCACCACCAGCAATTACAATCAAATGTCAATTGCCTATTTGGAGTTTTGAGGTACTTCATCAGACATAATTTATGCTTTGCTATGTCTATATCTCTGGCAAACATGGCTTTTCTCTCTGTTTGCCCCGGTTTGACTTTTTTTTCAGCAGTGATTCCACTATTCAGAAACCAGTGACAGCAGATTTTGTTTGTCTAACTACAGATTTCAGGTGCAAATTACTTGTAACTAAATGCCCAGAAAAAGCTTTTAAATTGCTTCTGTTCCTTCTTTTTTGGGGGGAAGGGGAAAAAAAAAAAAAAAGCTTCAGACAAATTCTGGAGATGTTGGGCTTTTGTATATCTCCACAACACAGATGAGATTCTTCAAAGTGAACAAAGAAAGTCAGTGATATATTAAGTTTTCTGCATTCCAGGAAGAAAAAGGAAAATGGTAAAGTCCTGATGGAAATATTAAGCACCACACTTTATATTGGAAAGCAAACAAACAAACAAACAAAAAACAAACAAACAAACAAACAAACCAACAAAAAAAAAAAAAAAAAACAAACAAAAAAAAAAACAAGACTTGCACAGCCATTATACTGCACAAGATGAAAATCCATCCTTAAGTGGAGATGTAGACTTGAAACTGTTCAGCTGCTTTGTGTGCAAGCACACTGTGACCCTGGTTTTTCAGAGTCGCAACAATACTCAGCCTCATTTGCTTAAATTGAGATAATGGAAATCATGGATCTTAAAACCATAAAACCACAAGGGATGTTTCCGAAAAAAAAAAAAAAAAAAAAAAAACAAACAAAACACTAAACTGGTGGGCACAATTACAGCACTTTCCAATAAAGTACAAGCAGTTCTGTGCCTGCTGTATGTGGGTAACAGCATGACTGCTCCTGGAGCATTCACTGGATTCTGGAAGGCAGTTACAGGTTCTGTATTATTCCTGCTAAAGCTAAGACTTACCAATTATTGAAAATAATATTATGATGCAGCTTCTGAAATGGCAGTCTGCAGAGGACTTCGCAATCAGGCTGTCAGTGAAGGCGTGGCACAAGAGGAAACTGTTGCCAGAAGTGTTTACCCAGGAGATACTCTTGAGAATGTTGATAAAAGCTGAAAACATCACTGAATTAAATGTTTCAAGGAGAGGATACACTTTGAGACATGAAATGTAAAGTGTTACACAGATTGTTCACCACTATTCAGTAAAACAGCTTGCCAGCAACAAAGCAGTTCACTTTCCAAAAACTTTGTTGTGCTGTACTTGATGTGGGAGGTTGAAGGAGGTTCAGAAGTTCAGTAAAGACCCTAAAATGTGCAGTCAAATTGGTGATACAGTCCTTACACCCCCATCCCAGAAGAGCTTAAATTTCTCTGTGATATTGGACTGGATTTAAAAAGGAAGTTGCAAACACTGTGGACTTCATCAAAACCGTGTCAGAAACCCTGCAATGAACAGGCGTGTTAATAAAAGAAAGTGAATCACTTATTCATCTCAGCTATCTGATGGATCAAATCCACCAGAAGAGTGTGAATCTGGAGAAACTCAGGTTTTCCTTCTCTCTGAGGAACTGGAAATTTCCCTTGAAAACACATATAGGGGAGGAGAACCCAAATACCCAAACTTTACAGAGTAGATGTCTAAATTCACCTCCTCTCAGAGATTATGTGTAATGTACAGTATCAAATCAAAATCTGATCAGAGGCTCTTCAAAGCTATTTTAAAACTTATCAACATCACAACACCAATTACACTGGCAATGCAAGATATGCTACAGATGTATGGGTTGGATCTCAACCCCGTGCAACTGGTGACTCAGCTTTGCCTGTTGCAAGCCAGCTATCAATTTGCAGAAGGTCACTGAGGTCCATTCCAAAATATTTTTTGTTCAGCCAAGCCAAATGCTGACTGTTTTGCAAAAAGGTGAAGCTAACACTAATGTTTTCCATGGTAGTAGCAGCCAGCCCTAAAAATGAGAGAAATATAGATGCCTAGTATCAGTCACAGCTGAGTAGACTGCACCTCATGCAATTAAAAGAAAAAGAAAAGTCTGATTTAAAGCTCACAGGAGTTTTAGGTAAATTCACTTGAAGAAAACAGCAGCCTCTGAACTTCATCCAGCTTGGACTCCATTCCTCTGTTTGTGTTTTTAAAAGAAGTAATTATTAGCTTTGTACCATTCCTACTTTGTCCACTTCTAATAAAGTGAGGAGAATAAACTTTTTCCTAAAATTTAAAACTTACTATCTGTAATCTTCCTTTTTTAATATAGATTAATGTTCATTAAGCACTGCACTGATTTGGTCTGAAGTCTGGGAGAGGTGGGTAGGACAGTTCATTCCCACCAGAGAGAACAACATATTTTGCATCTATGTTCACCAACTGGATAAAAGTTTGTCCTCAAATCTGAAAACACTGGAAGGATGGGTTTACGTATCTAAGAAGAAAACTTTAAAATAACTGACTCCAGGAGCATTTTCCCATAGCAACATGCTTTTAAAAATAATTGAGAGAGGTTAACAGAGAATTGCTGCATAATTATACAAATATGTCTTCATGTCTTACTGCTGCATTCTTAATCACAAAAGCGTGTTGCAGAGAAGCTGAACTGGGCACCAGTTAGCTGTCTGCTCCAGGTGAGCTTATGAAAATAAGCAGGAGCCAGTGAGGTGTCTAGTCAGAATAACTGTTTGACCCTGAATAAGGAGATCACAAGTAGGTCAGCACCATTGTGAAACTAATTTAGCAATCTCCCTCCTGCCTAAAGCCCAGGAATAATGTTAAAGCTAATAACCGTACAGAGCCTTTTGTCAAAATCCAAATGGCTAGGAACACTTGATCCCCATGGAAAAGAGCTGGAGATAGGAAATGTCCTGCCTAAGATAGCTGGCAGGACACCTAAGCTGATGACAGGGAAGGCTTTCGTCAAGGTAGGTTTTGGCTCACTGCCTATCTCATTCCAAACAACCATGAAACTGGTGGAAGCTTTTGATGGTCTCCCATGACACAGTCACAAGTGTGAACAATTTACAACATCTGCAGCCACCAATACACACTTCTTTATTTTTTAAATGCTAGCTGCTTTAGACTTGTTGCCCAGATGATGTCTTCCTGAGGAAGATGGCTGAACTTTGCACACATCTGAAAATAATGTTTCTTTGAAAAGAAACGTGGGTTTGACAGCAAAATCCAGCCTCCTTTTTGCTGACTGAGGTCATCAGTATTACCTGTTCTGCTGCCTGACCATCTCTGGACCAGGTGAGTAGGTAGAGGGAAGCAGGGAAAGGCCACAGCAAAAGCTGCTCATCTTCTGTTCTTTTATCTCTTAACTACAAACAGGAGCCTTGTACTTATGAAACTCCAATTTCCCTTTCCCCCTTCATCCTATACTTGGTTTGTTTCTTCACAATATTGTTTACAATTTGCGTTTTTGTTTTTGTTTTTGTTTTTTTTTCCCCAAACCTCCCCAAGCCGGGTGTTTATTCCCAGCTGACTCCTGCCTTGCAGCATTGCTTCTTAATCCAGGTGTGGCCTCTCATTATCCGGCTGCTGCTGGCAGCATTTCCCTCTTAACAAAATGTTTCTAACTAGATGTCTTCAGCTGCAGAGGAACTTGAGTTTTCTGACTGGCTTCCGTATTTTCAGATTCCTCAGACACAGCATCTTCACTGCTCAGCAAAGGGGAAAAAAGGCTGGGGCAGGATGCTTTCTATGGCTGGTGCCTCTCACCTTTCATCGTACACGCTGGGTGTGTACTGAGCAAACAACCAGGCAAGCTGCACGTGCTGGCCAGACCTTACTGGTCCAGAGCAAAACTAGCTGGAATTTCACCCTTTACTTCAGATGCATCAGGTACTGAGGCTCTCATGGTGTAGAACACAGAGCCCTTTGGATGAACGAAGGGACCTATCTCCCTCTCCCTTTTTCTCTATATTTTTTAATTTCAAAAGTCCATGGACTCCTTGATTTTATGCTGCATAAATTCAGGCCAAAAAACATTGTGAAAGAAGTGCTTGGTATTTCCAGGGTAGAGGCTAGCAGCACAAGACATTGTTGGAAAAGGAGTTTTGACCTTTGTGGAGCAAGGTATAAGTCAGTGGTTATGCCTGGAAAGACAGAGTCTGCCAGGCTGACCGCACTGCAGAACTGTATTTACACAAGCTGTCTTGAGTTCTGGGTAACTACAAACTCTTTAACTCTAGCAGTGCAAGTCTCTTATCTCTCAAATCTACAAACGTTGACAGAAAATACAATAAAAATATTAAATCCTGTATTATGGTTTTTTCCCAACCTCTTTCTTTCCCTTTTGTTCTTAAAGCCATTATTTTGTTTCATAACATTTTTCTTTAGCAAAATCAGCATGCTCTTTCTTCAACTTGAACTAATTAGTGCTCTTATTCCTCTCTTAAACCATATGCACACAGTCGTGCTTGTTTTGTATGCAGAGAATAGAGAATATGCTCTTCTCCTTGCAGTTTTTGAAAGGATTTATTCAGAACTATGAGCTGAGCTGTGAAACACTGGCACAGGTGTCCCCTCTGGATGGGCAGTGGGAGAGTATCAAGGGCTGCACTTGTGCAGATCAAATTTAACAAGGTCTGTGCAGGGTATCACAGTAACTCCTGTCTGTGATGAATGGAATGGAATGGAATGGAATGGAATGGAATGGAATGGAATGGTTGGAACGGACCTACAATGGTAATCTGGTCCAACATCAAGCAGGACTTACAGGGTTCAAGCAGCAGAGAGTGCCAGGTAACATGTAAATAGATGGATGGGGTTATATGTCAACATCACATGGCTACGTGACACAGTTTAATTAAGACTTTGCCCCTTCTCAGCCTCTCCACAGGTAACATCCAGTTTGGGCCTGTGTTGAAGAATAGAAGGGACTCCAGTCTTGCTGCTCTACCTTGGAGCTTGCTCCCAGCCCATATAACCACAGACTCCCAGCAAAACTCTTTGGACACTAGGTGAGTCGAAGCTTGCACATATAATATAGGAGCAGGCATGGAAAGAAACACTCCCCATTGAGCATGTGTCTTATCCAGGTGTAAAGAAAAAAAAAATCAAAGGAAAATATTTCATGTGCAAAAAAGGTCCTTGATTATAGGTTTAATTTTTAAGTATTCCAGTTAGGCCCTGCAAGATTGGAACTTGGTGATTCATACATTTGAGGTAATTAGGCTTTGAGTTGCCATCTCTACATTTGTTTGGTTACTTTCTGTAGTATATACACGTGCTTGCACAGTTAGTCTGCGTGCAAAGTGTAATTTATCTGTCTGAGGACTGCACTCTGAGTCACTGAGTTCCCTCAGGGTGTTCTGATTCCTTTCCTCTGATAATCCTTAAGGAATATCCTAGCTCCTGTTAGGTTTTTGCTTTCCCTTTAGAAACTGAGTTATACAATAAAAGTGACAGTAAGCATCTGCATGTAGCAGGTTGTGATTCCCATTATAGGTGAAAATGCACCCATCTTGCTCCTGAATTAAGTATTACCATTCTAGTCTCAGTATTTCTGTTGAGAATCTGTCAGCAGCCTTAGAGGAGGATGCAGAAAATATATATGTATATTTGCACTAAGTGATTTTTCAACATCAGATATTCGGCTACCATCTTACGACCAAGGGAAAGTAAAATGAATGCTGTTAGAGACTTTGGTCTTTTGAAGCAGGAATCCAGCTCAAAGCCTGTTTAATTTAATTGAATTTTTCATTTAATTTCATTTATCTAATTCTAGTATTTGAAGATCTGTTTAAAATAAAAAAGCCACTGGACTGACTTAATTCCTATGTGATTTCACTACATTCCATTAAGACATTCAAACAATATGTGTCTAAAAATTATGCACACTGTAGAACTTGTCTTGTGTAAGTACTTACTTGGTTTTTGCATTGTTTTAATGTATACACACAGAGAAAAAGCCCTATATTAAAACACCATGAAGAATGCAAAATTAAGCACTTGAAAGTCAGAAATTACACAAGGTAAAATAGCTTCTGTAAATCTAATTTGGCCTCTCTGTGTGTTCACATAAGGTATATGTGTTATATATGCATACATACGTATATATAAGTGTATACTATTTGTGTATGTACAGTGAGAAAAGCCTTTAATTACATGAATACCTACTGTTTTTCCACAGAGTGCTTGCTTCATTCAGTGAACAGGATAGACCTGCTTCACATGTGGGTCACCTTCCTGTGAAGAAGGCTGTTCCCTATACAACACTGCCTCATTAATTGTAGAGGTAGGTGAATCACAAATGAGGTGTAAGACTGCAAGAAGAGTTAAGGGGTGCCACTGCTTTTCCAGAGAATTAAATTCATGATTTAGAAAGTCAGCTGGCTGGCTACTGACAGGTATAGAGGTATCTGAGTGAGCTCCTGAACTCCCTTCAAGGAAAATTATCAAGACAAGATTATGCAATTTAAGTTGCTGGTCTGAGAGAACTTCATTGATTCACCCTACTGTAAAGTAGGGGGAGTACATGCAGGAGCTAATTTCTAGCTAAGAAATGGTCACAAGCAGCTGATGGAGATAAACTCTTCTGGTGGCACAGCTGTGTCCAGAAGATGACATCTCTTCACAACTTGGACCAAGCTAGGGTGGAACTAGCTTGGGCTTATCTTTCTTACTGTACAGCCACTAACAATGTACATCAGTACCATTGTCTTCATTAACCAAATACATAACCTCATTTAAAAAAAAAAAAAAAAAATGACAGTGTGACAAAGTTTATTTTCCTTGAATCCAGGCTATCTGTCTCTAATTATCTCACCTAGTTTTAATTCTTTGTTAATGTAGTGCTACATCAGTTGCTTCATCATTTTGCCCAGGAGTGATGTTAAGCTTCTGTCTCTTCCTCAAAGCACCGTGTGATGTTATTACAGTTGAATTTGTCTCATTTTGTGAGTGCATGCCTTGAGAGTCTGGAATCCGATTTACAAAAGCACTGCACATCCACAGTTGCCAACAGGAGCTGTCCTTTGAAAATACAAAATGCTGCACCATGTTCAAGAGTGCTAAACTGCTGGGAGCTGCAAGTACCCCAAAACTTCATGGTTTTCATATTACCTATTTGCTTTTGAGTTTCCCCTTATGAAAAGGAGGTAATAAACCTTCTCCTTATGGAGACACTACGAAAATAAATGCATTAATATTTGTGAAAGACTCAGATACTTCATGAGGGAGAATTATAAAAAATCCCATGAGGACATTAATCATTAGTTCTTGAGAGCAGAGTTTGAAGATAATGCATTAAATAAGTCATGGGGCTCCATACTGAACAAGTAGAAAACAAAATATTGAATTGCTCCTCATTAAGACCCAGATTCTAAAAGGTATTTTAAGTGCTTAAATCTTGCTAAGAGTCAGGGCTTCTTAAGTGGTCATCTTTTTTTCTTCTTTTTTTTTTTTTTTTTTTTTTTTTTTACTGAATAAGACAGGAGATCTGTAAGAAAAATTGTATGTAATCATGTAATTATAGGTTGCATCATAATGCACTGTTAATTAAAGGTTGCATCAGAATGCATGTGCACAAGATTTGGGGCACAAATCAACATTGCCTGAGCAATCTTAGTTACAGCATTTACCAACATCAGATTGCTTGACTTTTCAACATCTATGATCTTTTCCAATAATTAGAGTACAAATAATTTTCTCTGGTTTTAAGATAATAAACAAAGCCACCCACACTCGCCATCATTCTCACATCCCTAGCAGATGGGGGATGGGAACCCTTTTCCTGCTGCATCCCTTCCCGTATGGGGTACAGACCTCTGCCAGCAGAATAAATGACACAAGTAGTAGGTTGTCATTTTCTATTTGAATCAGCATCAGGGAGGGACAGAACATTTTGCCAGTGAGTTTCACTAATGTTTGCTGACATTGGAAGAATGGTGAAAGTCAGGCGTCTGTGGTTCAGTCAGGATCGGACGAGAGCACGTTGAAATAAGTACAGGCTTTTCTGCCTATTCCCCAAGTGGTTTAGCCCCTTTTACCATTTGCAACTTATTGCTCTTTCTTTCTGTTTCTCTTGCTCATATCCAGCTCTCACAGTCCTCACCTGGTCCTCCTGAAAAATCACTGGATAAAGGGATATTATCTGGATAAAGTCCTGCACATCATGATCTGACCCCATAGCTGATCCTGCTTCAAGAGGAGGTGAGACTAGAGACCTCCTGATCCCTTTGAACTTGAATTATCATGTGATACTATGAAGTCAAGGTGCTTTTCTCCATTTCTGAATAGCCTCCATTACAATATGGGATTTTATTAATTGCTTTGTACCAAGTAGTTTTGGTTTATTGCACTGCCATAATTTTACCTCTACAGTACAGGAATCCTTTAGACAAAAAAGGCAACCAAGCATACATCTCATAAAACCATAAAATATAGCCAGGGTTATTGTTATGCGGAATGTGGTTGTTACAAATTCCACATAAACCAGGAGTTTATGCCAAGAGCTCTCCAAAGTACTGTGCCTGGCCTTCCAAGAATCTGGAAATGTTAACACTAAGGCTAAGGAAGCTTGATTTTTTATTTTTTTTTTTTCCTCCTCCCTGTAAACATGATGATATTTCTCTGGGTCCTGCCTTCAAGTCCTCTGAGCTGTGGCAGGGTGCTGACAGACAGGGTGCTGCTTCTGCAATGGGAGGCTTGTTCTGCAACAAGGCAAAGTTCACAGTTTCCACCGCTGTCGTATTGCCCCAGTTCTGAGGCCACTCGCTCTGCATTTTGACAGGCATTAAACTGCTCCCATCAGAGGACACAAAAGCCGTCTTTTCTGCTCCCTCCTCCCCAAACTGTTGAAGACCCAGATTATAATAGTATGCAATTTCCTTAACATAACTCAGTGAATGTGGAAAAAATAAGCCAAGAGACATAGATTCATTCTCTTTCTGAATGCAACTTATCTTTTAAATGGTATCTTCTTGTCTTCCAGCAAAGAGGCACCCCAAAGATCCTAGGTTTTCTCTCTGAGGTCAGAGATTCACTGTTGGAGAAACCATGCTTGATCACAAAACACAGTGGCCTGTGAAGCCTTGCACAGGAGAGGCTTGCCTCTGTAATCTTAACTTCAGCATTTTCTCATGTGTAGGCTCCATCAAGCAGCTGGAATATTCCTTTCAAAACTTTCTCATTTCCTCATTCAAACCAAAATCAATTTTCACAAGAATATGTAAAGGCATTTCTGTTATTTAAAATATATTTTTCCATGAAGTTTTTTCCTTAGTAGTATTTATTTCATCAAAAAATTGTTTCTTAACTCCTATAAATGTATTTTCTTTCCTTTTTTTGTCCTAAGCCTTCTTGTACTCAGAAACAGCCTCTCGAGAATCACTGTTTCAAGGGTGGGAGAACTTCTACTCTGTAAAAATACATAACTCCCAAGAATATGCTACCTTTTAAATTTTTCAGTTCCAGACAAAATCTCAGGATGCAGGAGCAGCCCAGAAGAGGTGTTTGGGATGAAAATATTTGGTCAGCTTGAGTAAGGGTTGTCACCTCTCGTTATGGGCTTTTCATTGTACTGCATGACTTTATTCTGTTTCTACATATCTACTCATTCATAGTACCCCTACTTCCTTCTCTAAGGGCTCACTTTTCCCCTCTCATCCCTTCCAAGTTTTCAATTCTTCACTTTCTTCAGGCAAATTTCTCTTTCCTAAAAACTTCAGCTGAGACCTCCATTCCCAAAGTCCTCTTCCCCTCTTCATTTCTCCCTGCCAACTCCAGGCCATGCAGAGGGGAACCTTTGTGGAAAAGACATCAAGTGATAGCAGGGAGTTTCTAGAAGACCTGTCTCAAATGATCCTATTACAGAAGAAATCTAGGAAGTGTAAGAAGCAACTGATTGGGCTAAACTGTGAGCTCATGAAAAGGAACCACAGAGACAGTAGGTTGGATTTTAATGGGATAAGTGCAGAAGTGCCACCTAGCAAGAGCAGACGGGGACAAACACAAAAAAAGCCAATACAACAAATAAAACTTAACTGGCAAGAGTAATACAAGTAACAAGAAATCATTCAGTGACTACATCAGTGGTAAGAGGAAGTCAAAAGCAAGAGGATTACTCATCAGAGAAAGCTATTGACTGATGCTGGGAAGGCTCAGAGTGCCTCAGGCCTTTCTTGCACCAGTCTTGGCTGAAAGAGGTCACTTGTGATTAGGTGATTGACATAATACATATAAATGATAAGGGAATGAAGTTTCAGACCAGACTGGGACAGAACCAGTTACAAGAGTACTTGGGTAACTTAGAGGTGTTCAAACCAACAGGCTGGCTGGAATTCACCCCAAGGTGCTGAAGGAAGTAGCTCAAAGAGCGTTGGAAACACTGGCGTTTATCTCTGAGGGCTCAGGGAAGGTGGCCAAGGAGCCTGCTGATAGAAAACGGCAAAACTAGTGCCTATCTTTAAGGAGGGAATATAAAAATTAATCAATAAATAAATAGACCAGCCAGACATTTTTTGCCCAGAAAGCACCTAGTACAAATAGACACATTATTTGTAAAGAGATAGAAGGAAACCATGAGGTAAGCAACTGTTAACACGGACTTGTCAATGAGAAATTGGGACAAAACAGCCAAAATTCTGTTGGTGACAGAGGAACAGACCTTGGTATGGAAGAAAGGAGCAAGGGCCACAATCATCTGTGCCTTGGTTAGGCTCTGCACATTCGTTCATAAATCAGGGAGGTCAGTTTACATGAAAAATTTGGGCAGTGTGTACAAAACTGTGGAAACAGCAGTTGTCAGTGGTTTATTGGCAAACGGGTGGATTATAGATGCAACTCCAAAGGGGTCTGTCCTGGGACATTTCATTAGCAGCCTTCAGAGATGGCATTGATCGGGGAGTGACTACAAGTACATCGGAGGATAGAGTAAGAATTCAAAATAAGCCTAAGAAATTGCTTGGGAAGCACCGAACGTGACTGAAAAGCAGTGAGAGGAGTTGTTTTTGCGGGCAGGGTTAACCCCTTGCACACGCAGAGGCCGGGGCACCTGCTGGGTGCGTGCCACAGGCAGCAGCTGAGGGGAAACCGGAGGAGAGCTGGGGCAGCCGGTGGCCGAGGAGGCAGCGGGAGAGGCGGCCAAATTGCAGCTGGCTGTCATAAAGAAAATATGGTGCGGGGACGTGGTAACAGCCGTCAGAAGCAAAAGGGCACTGCAACACAGGAAGAGAAAGAAGAGATTTCCCTGGGCAGGGAGCACCAGGTTCACGTTTTGGCAAGGAATATTCGGATCAGTCAGGAGGATGAGGAGCCGTCCGGGGAGGCTGCAGGGCTGCTGGGGCACAGGGGATCCCCCAGAGCAGGGCTGAGGGAAGCCCTGCAAAAGGGATCCAGAGCCACCAGTGGATGGGAAACCTTTTTGGTGTTGTATGTAAGAAAAGGAGCTAAAGGGTGGAAGATCTACGGAGTTAATGGTGTACAATAACTGGCTTGCAGACACCAGATCATGTAAATGAAAATCCACCAGCAACTTGCTCTCCCATTTACAGTCAGTAAAGATGCCAGTCCGCCTCTAATGCGCACAAGTATTTTCTGCTCACTAGCCATATTCATGTGTACAAGCATATATTGATCTGTTGTCTCTCTTTCCCTTCTTCCAAAGGAAAAAATAACTGCACAGCTCCGTAATGCATGGGCTACGCTCCACGATCAAAATAGTCTGAGGCGCTCGCATACTGAAGTAAATTTAGCTTAACACAAAAATAACCTTCACAAATTCAAACTGTCTCTTTTACAATTAATTTTACAATTAATGTCAGGTGTTAGTATGACTATTTTTTTTTTCTTTTTATCCTAAGGGTGTACTAATTCGACAGCCTGACCGAAATGCTGCAGGTACACCGCTCTAGCTCTCAGAAATGCCCCCTCTTCGACTTTCGCTTCGTTCCCTCCAGGTCTGTCCCCGCTCCCGCCTTCCTTCCCCCCCCCCCTTCAGCCTCCAGGGGTGCTGCTGCCGCTCGCCCCCCCCCGCCGCTGCGCTGCGTTATTAAAGGCAGGCCGCGTAAATAATTGATCTGGTAATAACAGCGCGGCGTTACGCCGAGGGCCCTCACCTCCTCCCCCCCCCCCCCCCCCGCCGGCGCAGCGCTGCGCGGCCGCGGGGCGGCGCGGAGCCCACGCGGGGCGGCCCCCCCGGCGCCGTCCCGCCCCCGGCGGCGGCGGGTCCGTGCGGGGGGGGGGGGGCCGGGCCGGCGGCGCGGCGGGAGCAGGTGCGGCCGCCCGGCACCGCGGGGGCGGCGGGAACCCGGGCGGGCTGGCGGGTGGGGGCTACCGGGAGGAGGCGGAGGGCGAGGGGCCGGGAGGGCTGCTCGCCTCGGGAGGGGCCCGGCCGTGCCCGCAGCCCGGGCCGCGGAGGGGCTGGCGGTGCCCCCCTAGCCCCCCCCCACCCCTTGCTGCAGAGCCAGATGTGCGGGACGGGGGGCTGCGAGGGGCCGGCGGGGGGGTGCTGGGGGCTGCCGCCGCCGGGGGGGGACCCTTAGCTGTGCGGGAAGCGGGGAAGCCGCGGCGGGAGCTGTTATTTTTTTCTCCTCCTCCCTTTGCCTTCTCTCTCCTCCCTCCCTACTCCTCCTCCTCCTCCTTCTCACCAAAACCGGGAGAGGAGGCGTGTTCGTAGAGCCTTGCTGCACCGGTTTTGCTTGGTTTGTTGTTGCAGGGTTTGGTTCGCAGGCTGTTGGTTTTGTGGTGGTTTTTTTTTCTTTTTTTTTTTTTTCTTTTTTTTTTTAATCTCCCCTTTCCCCCCCGCTCCCCGCCCCTCTCCCTCTCCTTTCTTCTTCCCTCGCCTTTGGCCCATTGCATGCTCGGATCCGGCTGGATCCTTCCTTTTATTTTCGGCGGTGCCTCTCGGAGGGGGGAAGGGAGAGCTGGGATGAGTGCAGCCTGACGCACAGGCGAGGGGCGGGGGGGCACCGCCGGCAGCTGCAGCGGTTCGTGGCCGCAGGGTGCGGGTGAGGAAGGGAGCGAGCGAGGGGGCTCGCTCGGTGCCTCCCCCCTTTCCTCGCCCCTCTCCTTCCTCCTCTCTCTCCCGCCCTCCCTCTGTCCCTCCCTCCCCCATCCGTCTCCTGCCGGGTCCGGCTGGGAGCGTGTGTGCCGTATCTTACATTGCAAGGTGTGCGTGCGTGGGGGAGCAGGAGGGGAGAACCCGCGAGGGAGCCGGGGCTGCCCTAGCGCCCCCCCCCCACACCGCTCTATGTGACCCCCCCCCCCCCGCCTTCCCCGGGCGGCTGGATGGCGATAGACCGGCGCCGAGAGGCGAGCGGCGGGGGCCGGCCGCTGCCGGAGGAGAACGGCTCGGTGCCGGGGGCCGGGGGGGGGGGAGCTGCCGCTGCCCCCCCGGGGCCGCCCCCCAACAACAACGCCGCCGGGGCCGAGATCCAGGCGGTGCCGGTGCCGCCGCCCGCCGCCTGCAGCCCGCTGCTCCTCGACTACGACGGCTCGGTGCTGCCCTTCCTCGGGGGGCTGGGCGGCGGGTACCAGCGGACCCTGGTGCTGCTCACCTGGGTCCCGGCCCTCTTCATCGGCTTCAGCAAGTTCTCGGACTCCTTCCTCCTGGACCAGCCCGACTTCTGGTGCCGGGAGGCGGACGGGCAGGGC